GTAATAGCTATGTCGTCATCATGCGTATGACATTAAGCAGTTAGTGGCAATAGCGGGAGACGTAAAACGTAGTCATCGGTGACAGTAAGGTTACGTGTTTTTGACGTCATAGTTAGAAACAATAGTGGTGGACGTGTATGCATTATGGTTTCAGTGCACAATTGTATACTGAGTTAAATTGAGAAAGTTACAAATTTATACTTTTGTATTAAGCTTAGGTTTAAACAGCCTTATGAACATTTGTTCTTTTTTCCATCCGTAATTGTTTATCATTGTTAAATAATTGATAAAACGGAAAGATAGTAAACTGGCCATTCCCGCACTCATCAATGTGTTTGCTTACATTTATACATCGCACATTAGGATCTCGAATTTGTTGTCTGTGTACAGTGACTCGGTCCTTTAGTTGCATTCCAGTTTCTCCAATATAATGCTCACCACATCCCGCACATGTTAAAACATATATCACATTTTTGCTGCGGCAGTTCATTTTAGTTTTGAACAGTATACACAAAATACACAAAAGTCAAGAAATTAATTCAGCAATAATGGAACAGAATTGTGAATATGTGGAAATAAGGAACCCCAAAGACCTTTCATTTAGACCTATCGTTGGAGGCCCGAATAGCCCTACACAACGTTTAAGATATCATTTTGAAACCACTCACAAAGAAGGTTCCAAGTTTTCTTCGAGATGACATAGACTTTTTAAGTCACCTGCCCGAAGTCATACCTACGAATGCTGTTCTGGTAACCTTGACTTTTCGTGAAACATGGAGAAGATATCTGGACGACTGCTTTCTTATTTGGATTTCAACTGTGGAAGAATTAAATTATTTTTGGAATATTCTTGATTCGATCCATCCTTTGATTTCATTCACCATGGAATTCGACCATAATGAGATTTCATTTTTGGATGTAAAAATTATGAAGCAAGGAAACCAACTGAAAACGGATATTTACTACAAGCCGACAGACACGCATCAATACCTGCAATTCACTTCGTGTCACCCACGGCACACTAAAATAAATATTCCATATGCAATGGCAAGAAGAGTATGTACTATTGTTTCGGATGTGGACACAAGAAGTGCAAGATTAGAAAAATTGAAGACGTATCTTCAACTACAAGGATATCCACGTGGGGTAGTTGAAAATGCCGTTCATCAAGCAGTAAAAGTTCCAAGAGAAACACTTATGAACACAAAAGAAACAAATACAGAGGTGGACATTCTTCCATTTGTTTGTACCTACAATCCTAATAACTGTACAAGTATGCCCATTATAAAAGCAAATCTTCCAATTTTGCATAAAAGTGAAACGATGAAAAAAGGTTTAACCAAGACTAAATAGTATACGAAGCACTAGGCAGCCTAAAAATCTAAAACCAATCCTTTGTCCATTTAAATATTCACAAGATACAAACGCTGTCAGTGTAACAAAATGTCACACACCTCGATGTGGAACTTGTTCAATCATAACTGAAGACTGTGAATTTACATTTTGTGAAGACAAACTATTTACTATCAAAACTAAGAACTGCCGCAGCAAAAATGTGATATATGTTTTAACATGTGCGGGATGTGGTGAGCATTATATTGGAGAAACTGGAATGCAACTAAAGGACCGAGTCACTGTACACAGACAACAAATTCGAGATCCTAATGTGCGATGTATAAATGTAAGCAAACACATTGATGAGTGCGGGAATGGCCTGTTTACTATCTTTCCGTTTTATCAATTGTTTAACAATCAGAAACAATTACGGATGGAAAAAAGAACAAATGTTCATAAGGCTGTTTAAACCTAAGCTTAATACAAAAGTATAAATTTGTAACTTTCTCAATGTAACTCAGTATACAAATGTGCACTGAAACCATAATGCATACACGTCCACCACTATTGTTTCTAACTATGACGTCAAAAACACGATGACGTCACAAACGTAACCTTACTGTCACCCATGACTTCGTTTTACGTCTCCCGCTATTGTCACTAACTGCTTAATGTCATACGCATGATGACGACATAGCTATTACCGTTATGTGTCGCCTATGACGACACTCAGCTTTCATTGTACACCTGAAGAGCCGTTGAACGGCGAAAGATCTTGTGCAGATGTAAAGGAGATTTGACAAGAAGAAATATCTGGACTCATATTTTATATATATATATATACAAACACACATATATATATACATATATAAATATGTATATATATAATCCCTCCAATAAAAAAAACAAATAAAAAGAAACAAAAATACAGAAATACGAATAGTCGTAAATAGGACATATACGAAATGGAGAGCCATGGTCCATCTATGGTAAATTATATATGTCTAGTCAGTCATACAAATCCTGAAACAAGATACCCAATACAGCCCATGCTAGGGTAGAGTATGTGTACTTGGTGGCTAACAGTACATTGGTTGCAGTACACTCACGTCGTTATTACATTGTCTGCAGGTGCACTATGCCACAGGCAAAACGTATGTTGTTAATCTGTTTTAGGTCCCCAACGTTTCACCATACTTTCCAGCACGTTCCCTGAAGTTGGCTTGAACAGGCCCTTACCTGTTTTCTGCCAGATGCATCCTGGCACATGTTGTCCTGTTGGTGAAGAGGCAGGATACTGGCTGCCCTCTATCAAAACTGCCTAGCACACATCATGTCGGTCATTTACTGTAACATGTCATTTGTTATAATTCACACGGACGGTGAATTGTGCTATCTAATCATGCAACTGCATTAATGGCAGAGTGGGATAAAAATACCGATACTTTATGGCGGTACGATTCCCCTGAACTTCAATCAACTGAGATCGACCGTTGGCACAAAATGCTCCCCAAAGCATTACGTTCTCTCCCCTCCCTGCTCCACACTACCACAAATCGGTGAACCTCACACATACACGTGTGCGTCTTATGACACACCTGTCCCCTGTCATTGCAAAGCGCAATGTGTGACTCGTCACTAAAGACAATCCTGTTCCACTGCCTCTGTCATTTCTGCGGACCAATCGCAAACGTTGAAACTGCGTGAAGATAGGTCCTGCCTTTCGTCGTCAAGCTAGGATAAGCGCGGTCCCAAATCTACCCTGATGGTCTGTGCTGACACTGTACCTCTGAACAACTGTCTTCTTATGAAGTTTGTGGTCATAAATATGTTGAGGCGATGACGTAACCTTATTTGTACGTGATCTTAGTGTGACGTCACAGACCTGTGGTGATCTGCATGGTGACAGTCGCACACGGGTATTCAGACCGTGTATTGCCTGACGACCACAGCCCACGTCTCATTGAACTGCTGTCAAGCTTTGGGCCTATCCGTGGCACGCCCACGTTGCTGATTTGTGACTTCCTGGCTCTTTGATTAAACTGGCAACTTTAGCTGTTCAGTAATGTGGTTGTATACCAATATAAGATGAAGATGATTACTTGACTTGCTGCTTGTGATTGTTGTGCTTGACGCATTTTTCAAGCTGTTCAAACGGCCTGCATGCCATTGCCGTGTGTATGGCACAGGAAAAATACTAAGCAGAATTATAATTTCGCAATTAATACGATAAATAAAGGTGTCAAAGTTCTAATTTTGTTGAGTATACAAAGCATTGATCTCCCTGTCAGATTTGACCAATCAAACATCCATGAGCTGCACGGAGTTGACAGGTTATTGGAGTAGGTGTCATTTTCAGCGTATTGGTACATGACACAGGAGGAGAGCACCTGTCCCCGGGGAGATGGGCATGTTGATGTGGCATGGGTGCACGTGATAGGTGCCCTCCATATGTACTAGGGAACATCTCTATGCATATTTTGAACAGCCAAACAATTGGCGCCACGCTTTGCGGTATCATACAATCATGACAATTACATTGTACCAAATTTCGACGTCATCATTTACGAGGATGTTTCAGATCAGATTTCATTACTGCAGTATTGTAATTAAGTATTCTTTAATAGAAACAAATACATGACTGTTTCTATTTTGAATATTTATATTGATCAAATTAACCTATAATTATGAAAACCTCCATTGAAATAGTAGGTTTCGTTTGAATGGACAATTCCCTGAACATTCTAGTTATATATTTGAAATCGTACAGTGCACAAAAATCCAACGATTGCTTATCATTGTGGAAATAATTTTGTCAGTTTTATTCTTCACCTCAAAGAGGAAACGTTGACGATTAAAGGTCTGGAAACAAGATACACCCAGTAACAACTAAAATTGCATATTGTTTCCTATTTCGTTTTTTATCGGTGCTCATACACATTGTATGTTGCAAATCACTGTGGGTTGTGACTTTGGAAGTAAAGTATAAAATACTCCACACTATGACAGCTATGCTTAGAGTTTGAGAAAGGCAGTTTACACATGCTTTACGATATAGCTATCTTGTTGTCTATATTGTCTATGAAGAAACCATGGATGACGAAGACTTCTCGACATCAATTTCTTTATTCTTTCGATGCCATGTTTTTGTACCGATGTATATAACTTTGTCAAAAATTGGACAATGGTTGATAGTGAAATGGATGGTTGCTAATTAGACCTAATTAGTGCGAGGTCACAATCCAGGGAGTATCCCGGAAAGATATTCCACCCAAATCATGATATCCTCCTCCTGCCGATCAACATATGCACCACAACCACTGATTTATCAAACTTGGGCAGCCTTTAGTGATGAAATGAGTTAAGATGAGGTCAGATAAAATGTTATGAACATAGTGTTTCTCAGCCTTTAGAACGTATGTTCATGGAAACAAATAAGGAGCACGTGAAAGTACCTTTATTCTTTTCCAGAATTTCAATACAAAGCTTGTGAAGAAACCTGGAAAAAAATAAAGGAATACTTGTACTTTCAGGTGTTCCCTTATTCGTTTCCATGTGAGTATATTAGGAACAGAATAGAGAAATTTCAGCACAACCTGATATAGGTAATACACAAATGGTCACAATACACAGTGTTTTTGGTTCTCTTCAATCTATGGAATATCTTAGATTTCTTCGGATGGTTCCAGACGACATGTCATACGTTGGAAGCTCTCCATTTCGACATCCGTGGTTTTATCATGCCGCTCACTCTTCGTCTTAGTACATTTCCTGAGAACAGAAAAACGTAACATTAGGAAAAGTAACAACTAGCACATAAAACGCCATCAGGGTTGTATCATATTATGGCATAATCCAATGTATAAACACCTAATATAATTACCAATATTTGTGTTGAAATATACAAGCACTCTACCAGACTCAGTGTGCTAAGGATAAAGTTGTATTAGATGCAGAACTGACATATCACAGTGCACAATTCCCCAAGGGCACAGTCATGGGGCCGATATGCACGAGGTGATGTAAACGTGCTTTCATGTACCGGGTTTCCATTTCCTACAGCGGGATACGGTGACAGGTTGGCAGTTTAGGACTTACAGTCTGGATTTGTTCTTGAAATCATCTGTTTGGACTTTCATCCTCATGGACATTTATGTACGAAAACCTTGACGTACCAGCTTGCTGCTTACATACAACAGAAGATCCATGACCGCTTGGAGTTGCGTGTCTGGTCACTCGACGTCAGACTAAGTTCCTACTTGGTAATTCAAATTAAAGGACAGACTCATTGAGCTGAGCTGAATGACATAAAGCGAAATTGCTTGTCAGCATATTTGGCGATACTGTGACCTTTTCCAGGGAGTTCATCCTTCCTTATACACTGGCACTTACATTTATGGGTGGCTTGGTTGGCAGCGTGGCGTTGTACCACAACGATGTGTTCGAATACTCGGGGGTACGGATTACTGGATTGTCTAGTTCTGATTCAGGCCACCCGTGAAGATCCGGGTAAAATGTGGTCTTTAGAGCAACCCATGCTTGTCAGCAGAGGCGACTAACGGGATCGGGTGGTCAGGCTGGTTGACTTGGTTGACACATGTCATCCTATCCCAGTTGTGTACGTCGATGCTGATGATGTTGATCACTGAATTGTTTGGTCCAGACTCGATTATTTACAGACCAAACCAGATTTAGGCAGGAGTACTGCGGGGTGCGGCGATTGGCAATATGCACTTTCATATTTCTGAGAATTAATTGAGTAGGACACGCTTACCTTGTTCGAAACACCTTGTATCCTTACTGATTTTCAGTGATACATTTTAACAATTTTCCCCTACTATTGGAATCTCTTTGGGTCTCTGGAGTTGACGTTTTGAATTATATTTTAATAAAATTATCTTATGCATACTTTCAACTCACTTTCGCATATTCTTGGCGTCCTCTATAGTTTCAGGAAGCCTCCTTTTCAATGTCTCTGGTAGGAACAGTGTCAACAGACCCGCGGCAATTGACAGACCTCCGAAAACGATGAGAGGCAGCGCCACCTTCATGTCACCGCCAAGTAATACACCCTGAAGAATCATATGAACAGCCAAAATCACAAACATGTTTCAATAATCAAGTATGACGCAACAAGGACAAACATTGTTGGCACAGGGATCTCTCTTGTATTCAATACATTTCCAAATAATTAGACCTTAGAAATTTCCACACTGACGATGAGAAACTAATCTAGATACACTTACAGATGGAATATTATAGAGTAATATAAATCCCTAAAACAGATCCTAAGGATCTTGATAATAATATTCAGTAATCATTACATGAGTTCATATATTCACAGACACATATATATTCTTACCAGATCTGCAATATAAGGGGAGACCATCCCACCGATCCTGGCAAAGAAGGAGCTGACTCCCAGACCCGAGTTTCTTATCACAGTAGGGAACAACTCCGTTGTGTAAACGTACACAGTAGCAAATATTCCCGATGCACCCAACTTACCGATCATGGCTAGTACGACTGTCATCCAGTCTGTAGCTGGAAAAATATATCAAGTCAATGAATTTACATGGGGTGAACTACCACCTGAACACAATGTTGTAACTCGCAAGAATTTCCAAAGATGAAAGCATAAAAAGAGCAGACTGATTTCTAAGTGTTGATATACATATGAAAAATGAAAGAAACACACACACACACACACACACACACACACACACACACACACACACACACACTTCCTGTGTTACTTAACTTAACATTTCTCTCTCTGTCTTCTTCTTACCCGAGTTTCCATAGATGACTGGGAACATTGTACATACACAAGCTATTCCGCCGAGGAGAAGACAGCCACTCTGTACGAACTTCCTTCCAAGTCGGTCCAGCAGCAACATACATGTAATATACGACACCAACTCAACAGTATTGGAAATGGTGAAGTTGAGGTAGATGTTGCCACTGAGGTTTTGGACGTTCAGGTTCAAACCATAGTAAGCCAGACTTGCCACAAACCTTTAGGAAGTGAATATGCAGACTGAAAGGATCTTCAATTTACGAAACATTGTAACCGTCCTGCCCATCAGTAAACAAATAAAATACCAGTCTTTTCAAACAATACCCATTACCTTAACTGCCGTTATATATTGTTACGATAACTACACAATTGATTAAAGACAACGATTTGATGTGTTATTTACACAATAGTTTCAGAGCAAACTGCAAATCATCAAAAGAAACATATCTTTTTTCTATCACTAAAGCGTCCTTCTTTTGATATCAAATTTGAAAACACTTGAAATCATCCTAATTTACACTGATCAATTCATCACTTGCTTTGTTATCGTTTCAAGCATAGCAATTGAGGAAATGCCGCTATCATCACACCCACTTTGCTTATGCCTTAATTTGAATTTGACCATGATTCATGGGTTATCACCAGTTGAAGAAGATGATGAGCGTGATGAACAGCAAGTACGGCGTGCTGAACATCTGCGTCACCCTCACGGTCTTCTGCTTCTCGTTGACAACTGTAATGTTCTCCGCCATCTCTTCAGTAAATTCGACACCATTCACAGAAGCCATCTTCTGTATTGTTGTTTGAGCCTCCGGTATGCGACCACGTGCTATCAGCCATCGAGGGGATTCCGGAACTAACCTGGCATGTATCACATGTTTATAAAAGCCGAACAGAGAAGATGTCGAAAAGGGATTACATATTAAACCTAAGGTGTTAAAACCTAAGATACCTAGAAGAAGCAACGTGTTTCCAGCAGACTTCGTCAACATCAGTCATTCCTTTTCTAATCATTGTTTGTCTAAATATAACGATTCGACGTGGATCTAGTGTTTTACAGTGAATAGAATGATACTTGAGTTACATAAAAATGACCCTGTGGGGATTTATAGTCAGAGTAGGTCACAGTATCCAATACATGTCATCGCCACAAAGTCACAAAATCATTTCAACTATATCACTATACCTGAAGGTGCCTAACTGTTGCATTTGTACTGGAAATAATAACGTATTGTGTACAGTTCCGGACAGATTCGTTAATGGGAAATCAGATGTCTCGTTGATCCGTGTTGATTTATTCATGACAAAAATAGTGTCAGTGATGGTTTATCTCCTTTTATGAATTTAACCGAGCATGCCTAAGGTCTGAAGTAAGTTTTCCCCAGAATGCATTTATATTTTAAGCGTGAAACACGTATAACTAACTGTGAATTGATTGGAGGAAATACTGTCATAGCATGAGGTCAGTTTGGATGCAATACATACCAATAACAAAGAATGCTGAGAACTAACGGAAAAGCTGTGATGAGCTGGAGAGTTTGCCAATTGCGGACAAAGTAGGCAATAAGACCCAAGGTAAACTGACTGAAGCACCAAAATATCTCCACGACGACTCCCACAAACACTCTCCTGGAAGGTCCTGTCAGTTCCATCACTCAAAGAGAAAAATATACCTTGTTTATCTGTATATGTCCTTTATCAGATAATACATTTAATCTAGTGGTCGATAGATATACTCGCTAGCTCCATGACTGAGGTTATGTCCATCTCTTGCCGCACTTAAGAAGGGTGTAAGGGCAAAAATGGGATTTTTCTTCTATTTTCATTTAGTTGTATCTTTATTAAGTCTTCAGGTTCTTCAGCAAGTTAATTTTTCCAGTAAAGTAACTTTTTACATTATAAGTTCATATAAGAATATTTATTCATTCTTCATCTTAAGATATTAATATTTTTCTATTTCATTTTAAGCTTGAATAGGTTTGTGCATTTGTTCCTTAAAGTTATCAGTTAAAGGGAGATAATTTCCTATCATTTCGAGGCGGTGGGGTAGCCTGGTGGTTAAAGCGTCCGCTCGTCACGCCGAACACCCGGGTTCGATTCCCCACATGGACACAATGCGTGAAGCCCATTTCTGGTGTCCCCCGCCGTGATATTGCTGTAAAATTGCTTAAAGCGGCGTAAAACCATACTCACTCACTCGCATCATTTCATTAATTTTAAGTATTCAATTATTAAGGGAGGTAATTCAGGGTGGATTCTATTTTAGCCCTTGCTCTTAGTTCTGGGAACCCTGGTTATTTCTCATATCACATATGACAGAGCACATGGCAGGGTGCACATGACTTTTTGTCAATGTCCATGAAGTTTGTCAAGTTGAAGTTGAAGTTAAAGTTATCTTTATGGGAATACAGTAATGGTGAGCTATTTCTATTTATTTTGTAATTTATCATTTTATGTATAATAATTTGCTAGGGTATTTTTAGGTATGTATATTAAACTGTTCCTCTGTTTGCATTTCTTGGAAGTAACTTTTGATATTACGCTGAAATAGGGTTTTATGTCATAAGTATTATGTTTGCTATTTTACTATTTTGTATTTTGTCAGTCACTTTTTATGATAGTTTCATTTTATTGTATTGCAGTTAATCTGCTAGTTCTGACTAAGGGAGAAAAGAAGAGAATAAAAGTCAATATTAAGTTTAAGTGAAGTTTGTTGGTCCTACAGCATTAACATTACTTTCTCTGAAAGATGACTGAAGAAAAAGACAAAGAATGTAGAGAAAGAAAGCTCCCTGAAAGGGGGTTGATGTATTGTATGGAAGTGAAGTCTAAGAATGTGCGAACTATATTCAGGTTCCTAATAAGTGAAATAGAAAACATAAAGGGTGAACTTGTTCAGGGAGCTGTTTCGAAAGAACAAATAGAAGCTGTGAGAGTGAAGTATAGCCAATGGTGAGTGAAGTATGACAAGTTATACAGAGCAAGGGAAGAGTATGCCAAATTACTTGCTGAGCCTGAAATTACCAACTTTGAGAAAGGATGTGACAGTCAAGACACTGTATTGATAGAATTCAAAACTTTGGTAGAAGACTACTTCATACAGTTTGGGAAAATTCAAAGAAGTGAATCATGTAATTAAAAAACTTCCTCCCAGGGTAAGAAACAGGCCAGTTCTAAAGCAAGTCAGAAATCTTGTACATCTGTTCTGTCGGCTCAAATTCAAGAAAAACAAAAGCAAATAGAATTACAAGCTAAGGCAAAAACACTTAAAGAAAGAGAGAGGCTGGAAATTGAGAAGTTAAAAGTGAAGATGAAAGAAGAAGAGTTTGAGATACAAACACAATTAAATATTTCTGAGGAAAAGTCGAAAGTTTTGAATGAGTTTGAAGAGCAAGAGTCAGTAGGAAGAGAATCAGAAGGAAGGCACTCAGTAGAAAGAGAGTCAGTAAAAAGGCACTCAGTAGAAAGAGGGTCGAGAAGAAGAGTGACAGTGAGAAGAGGGTCTGTAGTTAGTGAATACAGCGAGTTGGAAGATCATGTTAGTCAACCCCCTCGAGTAAACACAGAAGTTTCCAATGTCTTCAACTCTGCCATTAAACAATTGAGAAAAACAGCAGCTGACATTCAAAAGTTTAGTGGCGACCCTTTAGAGTTCCCAAAATTCTTAAGACAATTCAAGACAAAGGTTATTGCTAATACGGACTCTGACGACGAATGCATGAGCTATCTGGAGCAATTTACCATTGGTGAAGCACGAAGAATAGTTGTTGGATACAGTTTTCTACCAGCACGGAGAGGTTTTAGGGCTGCTATGGAAGAATTGACGAATCACTTGCGACTGCTCTAATGGGACGTGCGTTAAAGTGGCCTGATATTAAAGTTGACAATGCAAAGATGCTTGATGAGTATTGAATTTTTCTCTCTGAATGTGAAAATGCAGTGAAGGCGATTCCAGCGGAGAAGATACTAGAGTACCCTGACAATCTGCGCAAGCTCGTGATGAAACTTCCTCGCCATTATCATGAAAGATGGAGAAATGTCGTCTCACAAGTCAAAGAAAGTGGTAGGCACGTCAGGTTTAGTCACTTTGTCAAGTTTGTCAGGAAAGAAGCGAAGAAAGCCACAGATCCCATATATGGTCAAGATGCTCTTCAAGTCCCAACCAAGCCAGTTGCCGGACAGAGAAACAGCACAGGTTTTAAAAGAAATCTTAATAGTTCGTTCAGCACCAGTGCTACTCAAGCAAGCCATAACTCTCAATTTCAAAACACATGCAAGATTCCACAGCCAAGATCCAGAAAGCCATTTCAAGATAACGTCAAGGTTTGCATCTATTGTCACAAGCAAGGACATGAGGTGAATAATTGTCAAGATCTGATGGCGAAGCCCCACATGGACAGGCTTATCTTCATACGGAACAGCAGCCTGTGTTTCAGATGTTTTTCCCCTGGTCACTCAAGTAAAGTATGTACTCTAAATGTGAAATGCAACAAGTGCCAAGGCAATCATCAGACCATTCTACACATGCTGAGTGACACTACGAAGAAAGAAATCAGTGCGCATACTGAGCTTGATGAGAGTGGTGATCTAATGGAGGCCAGAGAAGCTGAAAGTACTTTAGCCATTATCCCAGTGTGCGTCTCAAGAAAAGATGGTCTGAAAGTGTGTACTGCCTACGCATTCCTGGATCCTGGGAGCACGGTATCCTTCTGTTCCCAAGCTCTACTAAGTAAGCTGGGTTGCTGCGGCAAGAAAGTTGAGATTACAATCGACACTATGGGTGAACCTCACACGTCAACTGTTCAAGCTGTCAACGGACTGCAAGTTCATAACCTTAGCTGTAATAACACAATCTCCCTTCCCACGCTCTACTCTAAAGATATTCTTCCCGTTACCTCAAGACATATTCCTACAAGCAAAGACGTGTAACAGTGGTCTCACTTATCCGACCTGCATATCCCTCAGATAGTATCTGACATTGATCCCCTGATTGGTTGTAACGTCCCTGAAGCGTACTCTCCGCTCGAAGTGAGGACAGGCCCCAAGGGCAGTCCTCATGCCACAAGAACAAGTCTGGGGTGGATTCTCTGGAACGTAATGCGTACCATGCAAGAAGAACCAACCTACCCGTTCTTTCGGACAAGGATCAAGGCTATAAGTGAAGTAGAAGAAATCCAGACGTTGAACAAGTTAGTTAAGGAATCCATTAAGTATGACTTCCCAGAAAAGGGAATTGATGACAAGCAAGAGCTATCTCAAGATGACAGAAGGTTCCTGCAGATAGTCTCACACTCTATATATCTCCAAGACGGACATTACCATATCAGACTCCCCTTCAAGCATGATAATGTAATGCCGAACAACCAAAGTCAAGCCCTCAGGCGACTCACAAGTCTAAAGAAAACGTTCAAACAAGATGAACATTATCATAATGATTACAAGACATTCATGAATGATATCATCTCTAAAGACTACGCAGAAGAAGTACCCTATAATGAACAAGGTGGAAAGGCTGTAAAGCAGTGGTACATTCCCCATCATGCGGTGTATCACCCTAAGAAACCAGACAAAATCCGGGTGGTATTTGACTGTGCTGTGACATATTAAGGCGTGTCGTTGAACAGCGCTCTCCTGCAAGGCCAATATCTCACCACAAGTCTCATCAGTATCCTACTTCGATTTCGAGAGGAGTCGGTAGCTGTCATCGCAGATATCGAATCCATGTACTACAGAGTGAAGGTCCCACCTACAGATTGCGACTTCTTGAGATTCTACTGGTGGCCGGACGCGACTATAACAAGGAGGCGAAGATGTACAGAATGCTAGTCCATCTGTTCGGAGCTGTATCCTCTGCAAGTTGTGCGTCATATGCCCTGCAACAGACTGCCAGAGACAATGTAGGTCACTATGACCCAGAGATTATCAACATTGAAGTCAAGCTTCTATGTGGACGACTGTCTTGCATCTAAGCCTACAGAGGAAAAGGCAATCCAAGTTGTAAAACATGTAACTAGCCTCTGCAGCCAAGGTAACTTCCGACTGACGAAGTGGGTCAGTAGCAGCCTCGAAATACTTAAGTCTGTGCCAGTTAAAGAAAGAGCAAGTGTGTAAAACAACTGGACCTAGATCATGACATACTCCCTAACGAACGCGCCCTAGGTGTATTTTGGTCTGTAGACGAGGATATTCTCAGCTTCAACATCATCGAAAGTGATATGCCAAACACAAGAAGAAGCATCTTGTCATTGGTGGGCCAAGTCTATGATCCCCTGGGAATTGTATCGCCATTTGCGCTGCAAGCCAAAATTCTCCTCCAGGATCTATGTACAGAGTACAGCTGGGATGAGGTAATAGACAATCAATCTGCCAAATTGTGGAGTGATTGGCAATCAGGTCTGCCTGTTAAAAGACATTTGCCTAGAAAGATCTTACAAGCCCCGCCAGTTTGGAACAGTCAGCTCAAGTTCACTACATGCTTTCTCAGATGCAAGTGACGTAGGTTACGGGGTGGTGATTTACTTGACAAGTCAACGAAAACGGTGATGTCCATTATTCAATTGTGATGGCTGAATCCAGGGTGGCCCCAATCAAGAAAGGGACAGTACCTCGGATGGAGTTAGCAGCAGCCACACTTGCAGTGCGCCTCGTACACAT